CTTAGAGACCGAATCAGACTCCAATTCTATGAATATATCCGTTGCAAATATGTCAGAACCAGGAGCAAAAGAAACAGGTCAGTTTTTCTTGTATCCCATTTTTCTATATTGGTAGATTTTTTTTTATTAAGCCTCAGACTTCCTTCCCCCCTTCATTTTTTTAAACGTAAGAGTGAGAATCTACCTTAATAAAAATCTCTTTATACAAAGCTTATATCAGCTCACTCTGTCAGTCTGTCTGTCTTTTTGGTAAAAAAGTTGTACACGTTATTTCTCCCACATTAAACCAATCTCAGGTCATGTTGAAACTTTGCACTGTTATTTATTTTTTTTAGACAAGACATAAAAATTAACCGATTAGTGAATAAATTAGCTAGTTTAATACCAAGAAGGGAAATTAATCCTTAAGTATTCACGCTAAATATGTAACGTTTCTTCCTCTTAGATAATTGAACCCGTTATTTATCCCACACCTATTGTCGGATCAGGTTAAAACTTTAAGTTGATGTCTATTGCTCTCCGAAATATGTAAAACATTTTACAAACATTACATCTTTTAATAGTAAAAATTGTTGTTTGTAAAATGTTTTACATGTTTAGGATGTTCCTTCAGAGTTAAAGATAGTTTACTTCCTAGTCCAAACCTCCCGCAGGGCGACGGGGGATGGGAGGGGGCAAGGTTTGAACCCTGGACCATTGATAAATCCAAACGACACGACCAGACAGCCGATAGCTAAGACAGACACAAACTCTCTTTTGTTCCCCTGGCAATCAAATTATTCAATAGAAACTATATGATATTTACTTTTCGCATGTAAATTATGAGTCTGTTGTGAATGTATGTTGGTTTTCTATAGTTATAATGTTTTGTTTGGTGTATTGCACAAATTGTAAGAAAAATTTCTATATTGATAATAAAGATTATTATTAATATTAGTTAAAACTAATAAAAAGTTTAAAGTTACGTATATATTATATTATCGGTACATTCAAGTATTATAAAATCTCATATTTTAATCCGACACACGAAACAACAGACGACCACCTTGAATGGCGCGAATTTGTAGGCCTATACTCTAGCGTGCTGCCCCCAGCAGAGGCGCGGTGGCTGAGTGGTAAAGTGCTTGGCTTCCAGTGGCGTAGCTAGGGATTTGCCAACATTTGGAGCTTTGAGGGATTGACCTCTTTGGGCGCCTCTACATTTTGACATTCGACATCATGGCATGAGATAAAACATATTTAATGTAAAAAGAAAAATTGGAACACTCAGCAGGTAGTATGGCCTGAGATTGTTACATAGAAGTTCAATATCAGTCGTACACAATTTAGTTTTGATTGAAATATTGTTGACACAACAGTTCTGTTTATTGACATAAATGACCAGTCCTCCTCCTCTTGTTTCGCCACTATCTATTGTCCGGTCTGATCTGTACAAAAAAAATGCATCAAATTCTACTGATGTGTCGGGAATAAATTCATTTAGCCAAGTTTTATAGTTTTGACTTATGAACATGCGACAACTTACATAAAAGAAAGAATAAAGCTGACAGTATAGTGATGTTTCAGAGCTCGGCCTCCTCTATTTTTATATTTCTGATAATAAAAAAAAAACAATGTCAATCGTAGGAACAAATAAACGGGCGGAGCCGGTGGGAAATGCTAGTTATTTAAAAATATTTAGATTTTTAATGTAAATTTTATTTCTCATTTGTTGAATTCAGATTCAATTAGCCTGAAAGTATTTCTGTCAGTCACAATATCCTTATGTTCACTGCTGACTGTTGCTATTGTGATCATTGTCATTTTGATGAGGAGCAAATGGAGAAGGTTTTAGTTTTTTTTTTAATTTAAATATTATATACATTTTCAAAAGATTGACAATATTTTAATATATAAGTTAAAATATAATGGTATGAAAAACCTTCTCCCAGATACCCCCTCCCCAACTGGTACACAAAAAAGATTGGACAATAGCGCTCTGATCATGCTATAAGCAAGAAAGTAGCGCTATATAAAAGCTATTATTATTATTATTATAATTATTTTTTTAATGCAATTCACAAATATGTTCACTCGAAGAACACTCTGTGGATTAAATTATAATTATAATTTATACAATATATTCTTTTCATGTATTATGTATTCTTTTTGAAATGTTCAAATTTGCGCATTGAAAAAGGTTTTTGTATTTTTAGCAAAAAGAAGAGGATCGAGAACGTATATGATACAACTAATATATGTGACCTAGAAACACACCAATACTGTGGTAAGGTTATATATATATTTTACAGACAAACTAATGAAATTTTGTTTTTAAATAAACAAGAAGTTTTATCACTTTTTATAGTTGCAGTGAAATCTTTATTATTGCATAAAAATCTAATATGGTCAAGCTACTTAGCATTACGTTTACCAATGTTACTTCTTTAAAAACAAAGACTACGTGAATTAAAAAAAAATATATATCATCGTCAAAACATATCGAGATTAAAAGACCATACTTCTATTTACGATATTTCTAGTATCCGAAATATCATTAATATGGTTTAATAGACAAGTAATAAATATTTTATATGTTTCAGATACAACGAATTTAAACAAGAGCGAATACCAGGAAGTGACAGACTTGGCTTGCAAACATTATAGCAATTAATAATGGACTATACTGTGTATGAGTTTTTAAAAAATGAGATGATTTCATACTCAATTCTTGACAATGTGTTGTTATAAACTAAATGTCTGAAGTTAAATCGAGGCAAATTGCTCAACGGGTTTATACATTGTTAAGTTTCTAAGTAAGCCCGATGAATTTATAAGATAGACAATTTTTTTCTTAACATAAACTAAGATAATATAATTTAACAAGCTAAGACAAAACAGAATACTGTAATATATCTAAACAAAGTATTAAATAGTGTCGATAAAAGAAATTCATTGTTGATGTGAAAAACGAACATTCAACACATGACTAAGATAAAGCACTATGCAGACTGATGTTTGTTTTACAACAATTAGAAATTGTATAGCAACTAACTTATATTGCATAGAATTCCATTTCATTTTAATTCTTTCGAAAAGTTTAAATAGTCTTTGTGTTCAAAGTGATTTAAGAATATACGTTTATTTTTTTCCTTCTTGCAATGAAAAAATATTCCTACAATAGGTAGGCCTATTCTACAAACGACAAATATTCTGCATTTCCATTAAAACAGAAAAAAAAAGCTATTAACCACCATAAACAAATAATTATCTCAAATGCAATATAAAAGTAGAGTGAAACATAATGCATAAGAAAGATATGACACTCAATAAAGTGCATGCATAGAGAGACCCGATGTCAGAGGCATGCATGGCGAGATGGAATGCGTTGTTTCTTTGTCATTTCTATATGAGTTATATTCCTTTGTTTATATATGCCCAGGGTATGACTGAACGTACGTAATGTAAACTGAATGTTTTTCACTCTGTTGAATGACAATGGGGACATTATTAAATGGTGGAGTTAGTTGTTTGCTGACAGTGGAATAGAGCAAGTTAACCTTCACACAACTAAACTCATTCTGTATGCACCTGTAGCACCACTTTACAAATAGACTTTCCAATCTAATTACCGACCATCTTGTATTGTTACATAAGCTTTATATAGTTCGTCAATTTTATTAGGATATTGACAACCTTTGCCTTTCAAGTTCTGAAGGCTCTGCTCTGCGTTTTAATGTCTTCTCGAGTGTCTTGTGAAGTCTGTTTGGGCACGGACTTGTCTGAGTTGCTTTGATTTTCTTCTATGACGCTTTTCTTCACCCTAGGCTGTTTTCTTGTCTTTGGCGATTTTCGCGCCAGTTTTCAGATCGCTGTGCAATGGAGCAGTATAATTTTTTTCCTTCTACCAGCTGGCAGGGTCCACGTTGTAGGTTCTCAGAAAGGCTTTGAGGGTGTTCATGGAGCGCTTTGAGCACATTGATGTCGCTTTCCTGCTCGTCACCAGTGAGACATAATAAGCTTATATAAAGGAGAAAAAACTTCGCAATTACAACTATATCTCTCAATAATGTATTCAATATAACGAAAATGCAAACAATAAATTTGACAAATTTTTTTTAGCGGCCCCCGAAAGGGGAAAAGACGCTATTAGTTTTGTGTGAAATGTGTTTCCATCTGTCCGTCCGTCTCGTTTAGATCTCGTAAACTAGAAAAGATAATGAAAATCCGACATCATAATCTTTAAGACTATTGAAAGTTCTGATGCAACGGCTACTTTTATCTTTTCTAAAAGCGAAAATTATAATTTTTAAAATCATTTATGCAAGCAGTTTTATCATAAAAATAACCACTTTTACAACTATTCACTATTAATAGTAACAAACACTTAGAGCACTGCGGTAGGGGAGAAGATTATGTGCCATATTTTTAACGCATGATGTATGCTAACGGTTTTTAATTTTTTGTCAAAAATTATTTTTTTTACACTTGTATTGCTAAGTTAAGTAAGTTCTGTCACACTAATTGCTACAATTACACGAAAAAAATGTTTACTTTTTTTAAAGAGAAAAAATTTATTTAGTATACATATAAGTTGGACATAATTTAAAACAGCAATTAATAAGTAATTTTGCATACTATCTCGTGAACTGCAGTGCATTTCTAACATCATAAAACACTTATATAAAGGAAAAAAATTCCGAATTTTTTTTTTTGAAGAAATTAGAGATGGACCATTTACAAAGCAATTAGATCAATTAGATATTCATTATAAGACATCAGTTAGGCCAGGTTCACATTTAAATTCACATTCACTTTCACCTATCCTTTGTTTTGATGAACCACACAAGATCTGTCAACCTTCTTTCTCCATTCTGCTCTGTCATTTGTCCTTAATCGAATTTAATTCTGATGTTCTTTCCAAAAATATTGATACCTGCCTTTTATCTGCCTGGGTGGACCACTTCTAGGGCCGATTTTGAGTTTGTGTTTCCACACAAACTGTCTTTGTAACCTTGTTTTTTTTTATTCATGTTTTGCTAGGTAAATAAATTATTGTTTAAACTTTCAACTTGATACTGGAATGGGTGTTGGAGAAATAATATGTGCAATTATCTAAGTGGATAAACTCTTACATATCTGTACATACCGAGGAATTGATTTAGATTGTTTTTGTCAAACAAATTAACTGTAATTAATAGACTAATTGGTTATTTTTTTTTAATTGACTCGTATCTTGTCTTTGTTAATGAATAATCATGCAAAGTTTCAAATCTTTTTACCAGACAGACAGATAGACAAATCGACTGAGTTTTTATAAGATTTATAAAAAAATGTTGAACATCTGAGTCATTTGTGCACATATTGTAGGATATTGTTTTATGTCCTTTTACGAATAAAAAAATAAACGAAGGCAAGATTTTTTTCATCTTTAAACATTTGCTTGTTAATTACAACCTAAATTGTTTACTTTTAGAGTAGGTTATGTCATTTTGAATTTTAATATTGAAATTAGAAAAAACATTATTCAAATACGAAAACCAAGCAGTCATCAGGGCTGAATGTTATCTTCTTCTTATCTAATAAAATACAGACGTTACTTCAAAAAAGATTACGTCCTACGCGTCATGCATATAGTCATGTGTGTTAAACAATGACTTAAATTCTGCCAAATCACTGGATTTCCTGGCTGGCTTAGGGAACCCATTCCATGCTCTAATAGTACTAGGGAAGAATTGGTCCTAGCATATGGAGCGAGGAATGTGCCTTTATCTTTGTGTCTTTCTGAGTATTATTTTGTTTTTGTATTTTGAAGCTTAACTTTTAAATGTTGAACTGCGCTAATATCCCATGGCTCGGATCAAGTAGTCATCGTATGCTGGCTAAACTAGGAATTCAAAAGAGTTTTTAGACCTTTTACATCAAAATTATTTAACATCTACAAAAAAGAAAACAAGGAATCTTCAAGAAAATAGACTTAATATTAGAAAAAAAAGCAACAAACAAACAAAGAAACAAGAAAAACATAAAAAAAAAACATTTTTAAAAAGACAATATCTCCATAATTAAACTTTAAATATAATAAAAACAATTTTTACAAAATAATTTAAACTAAATATTTGATTCACTAAGTGTTTCAAATCCCTGACACGTGACACTCTTCAAGTGCTCGATTGCCCAAAACGTTATATGTCAGCATTTTCTGAATCAAGCCATGTGATTATTTACTGGTATGTTTATTATATGGACATCTAGGTCTAATACAAGACCCAAATTTCTGATTTAGATCTAGTCTAGATCTACTTCTAGATCTAGAATGTATATATAATCTATATATGATAGAAGTAAAAATATAAGCACCGCTTGTAAACTTTAATAAAATTTGAGCAACTTTTAATTTACTGTTATCGCAAAATCACGGTAGTACAGCTGACTAAACCATGATGACTATAGACCTAGATTTGCAATTCTTTAGCTAAATTTACATTTATTTTTTTTTTTTTGCTTTGAAAAATTATACTTATTATAATTAAACTAGAATTTTCCGCCATGTGGCCAACGAGCTGGTAATTCTTTTCTCAGCAATATACATCAACTGTTAAATTTATAGAAACATCGCTAGAGCCTTTTTTTTAAAATCATCTGTTAGCCCACCCTCCACGAAATAGTGACTTGAATAGATGTATTTGTAATTAAAGATTGAGAATATGAACAGAAAAGAAAAAATGCTAAGATAAATACAATGCACTTCCTTGAACATCACATTTGAGTGGTTCTCAATATTTTATTAGTAACCTTGATTCCTTAAAGCAACGACTATACAAGTAGGTATACTTATGATATACACACGTCTCACGGTGACCACACGCTAGAGTAGCGCTAGTGAAAACTAATGGTCAAGTTCTGTTCGCTGATACACTTACTCCTTCTTCCTTAGTGCGAGCATGTGTCAGGTTCTTGTTTTCTTGTACTTATCAAACTATTATTAGATATTTTAACTGTGAATATTTATTTAAAAGTAATATTATTTCAATGTGTGTTATTGTTGTTTTTTTCTGAACTTGTAATATTTTGACCCAAGTTCAGCCTGACAAGCACAACATACACGTACAGTTGTATATTCAATTAATAAACTAAGTGTATGATGTTAAATAACAATACAAATTTATTCCAGTGATATATTCACAAATGAACTGATGTATGATGAATGATAATAATAGTATCAATATCAATAGATATATGTGTAATAATATGTAAACTAAAATGATCCAGTTATTCTTTTAGCGACATATAAATGATCATTATTTGAACAATATCATTACCTTAATATGTTCATTACAAGTTGTTCAAATAGACTTCCAACACAACAACTGGTAATCCACATAGATCTAGCCTCTAGATCCGATACTGTTCACTGACGACAATTCCAAAAGTTTATAGTTCATACTATAACATCAGGTCTGACCAAGGCAACCCGCAGTCTGGAATCTTGAACCTCAGACTCATGAAAAACCAACTTGAACACCAGACGACCAACTGAGATTAGTGAGATGAAGACCTCAGTCCTTTAGACTGTAGACCTCAAGTTGTACTCTCAATATAGAAAATTGAGACGGTATAAACAAGTCTTGACACCAAGACTTTACACTGAGTCTAACACATAGACTTAACACCAAGCTAAGATCACTACTTAGACTTGACGCTAAAACTTGAAATAGAGTCCTGACCAAAACTTAGACTTGTCGTTAAAACCCTATACAAGATAAAAGAAAGGATTCTTCTAATCACCTAGATCTAGTCTAATTATAGACTTACAAATACAAACGAATTCAAATAGAAAAACTATACAATGAAAAATAAAACTCACCCTAAACAGGGGTCAAGATAATCCAACAAGAAAATGTCCAAGGCAAATGTTAAGGCTATCCAGTAACAATAACCAAGGAGAAATTCAAGAGCTCTCAAGACACGTCTATCTGTACCAACGTACAAAACAATGGAGAGACTGTACTAGACGATAAATGACGCGAACCACACACACACACTAACTTTACATCACTAGAAGTTGTGACAAGCAACAAAAGCTCAGTCCCCTAGTCTACAAAGTAAAATATTAATAGTGTAATGACGTCATCAATATAGTGATCAACGCCGCACTATCAATTAGAGAAATAATTCTACTATTAGATAACTGCGACAGCATGCACTGGCTGTACTTAAAATTAACCAAATAAACAAACTTTTTTCACTCATATAATTTCAAGTATCATCGGTAAACTATTTCATTTTATTAGTCTTATATTGTCCTCTGGCTAATGCTGTTCATTATATGATTGTCCATAGGAAAAGGTAAAACTGGGTTAGCTGTTGTGTAGGCCACACTACACCCTAGTTTTAGTGATGCATAATTTAATAGGTTTAAAATTCAGAATTATTTGGTTTGACTGTGTATATAGACTATATTGTTCGTTAACCAATACATTAAATATGCAACTATAATTTGGTTAAGAATTAAGCAAATAAAATATTTCTTTGCGGGTCAAAAGCATGGGCGATACCACTAGACATAAAGCCACCCAGTCGCCCTTCAGACTAAAACCAAGTACTAATGAAACAGCCTTGTGACATTCATCCCATTAAGCTACGTCCTGTAAGTACACATAGATCTTATCGCCCTTTGTTTACAAGTGATGACCACTTCAAATATTTATAGCATGTGTCGTTTTTTTTAACGCACCGCTAAAAACTAAATTTATAAATAACTAGAGTCGGTAAAACACTTATAAATCCAAATTTTTTAAAGTATAGTGACCAGAGCATGGCGTTTTCGTAGAAAGTCAGGTACAGAATAGAAGATATCCTCGTCTTGTTACAGACCAAGTTTCGAATTTTTACAGGGATTTTAAAGGAAGAGGCCTCAGCTGGGAACTTCTTGCTAATTTTTTGTAAAGTTTATGAAAAATCATGACAACTTTAGATTTGTTACCATGTCAAGACTTTCCCCCCTATCCCAACTGTCAAGGAATTAAAGTTTTGGGTTCTAGAAGCCCTAACAACAAAAGCAAATGTATTGGAGGAACTGTTACCAAGTTTTTTAACCTTATTGCAGGCCAGGCCCTTTAGAGAGGCTGTGTACTTCAAGGCTGGTCCTCACAGATTCCTACCATTCACCATCCAGCTATTTGGCAGGAACACCAATTTATAACGTGAGGAGGAATACATGGGGAATTTGAAAACAGAATCAACAAGCATAACAACAAAAGAGATTAGAAGATAAAAGTTAATCATTAAAACTCCCTTCCACAATATATTTGTCAAAAAATTAACAGAAATATCAACAGTAACAATATACTTTTTAACAAACTTGTCAAATGCCATGTAGTTCAATAATAGCCATTGGTCACGCTGGGCAAGCTATGATCTACGTGTCTGGGTATCTCTGTCAGCGACAGTCATATTTTAATTTTGCACTATTTCCGTTCTACAGAAATTCTCTCAATTCCTCCTCCTCCCATGCACAAAAAAATACGTTAAGCCAGAATTCATTTTTATGTTACATTGCCTTACCAATAAAGTGAAAAATGTAAAAGAATTATTAAGCTGTTTAATATTGAACGAAATTCACGTTCAGGGACATTTAGGTAAATGAAACATTATTTCTTGTTTCATTATGAATGCCAATGAAGAGGCTCAACAAACTTTCACCAGAACATTAAAGAAACGTAGCAAATTAATACATAATGTTAGTCAAGGGCAACTTTATTAAAAAACATATCCGATAACTTTAAAGAAATTTATGTTCAACATCCTTGGTATCAAACAAACTACAATATTTTTTGATTGAAGTTAGATATCTTGATTAGGATGCCTTTGAAATACTGTCTCCTATAAAAATAAGCCCATGAACTTACATTCATATTTAAATAACACACTGGAAGTGTGGTAGCTACTAGGAACATAAAAACCACTCAAAGCAGTCGGAAGTGTGTTTCAAGAAAGCGCAAGGCTGATGTGTCGATGTGTTGACTCTTAACGCGAAACTAAGAGTTGGTATTGTTTCTTTGTCTTGTCTGTTCATCTTTTTAATTTGGACAAGTTTATTATCCGACCATTGAATTAGATAAAAACTTATTTTTTTAATTTTTATAACCTTGATAATATCGTCACATAATTTCTCAATTTTGAGATATAGTTGTACTCTGTACATTTTAGTACTTTGTTATCTGGTAAGTATTGTAACTACAGTAACTCAAAGAAGGTTTATATACACATTAGTTCCGACACAAATATTTTATTTAAAAAAATATTTATGGATTTGTTCTCATTCGATAGTATTTTTCTCTTATAATTGAACAGTATATGTATATAGCTAAATAATGTTCAGCAAAAAACAAAAGTAATACAATATTTATATGTTCTGAAATAGGAACATTTTTATTGAGACATA